ACCCCGCCCGGCCCGGCCGCAGCTGCGTCTGAGGGCGCCCTGCCTGCCCCGAGTCAGGCGCAGCTGTGACTGTGCCTTGTTCTGGCTGCTGTCCCCAATGGCCTCGTCCAGGCCTGTGCTTCCTGTGCCGCGGAGCAAAGGGAAACAAAAAGCAGGGCCCGGCCTGGGTTATCAGTGTATATTTTTAATAAACACATGAAAGTAGTCGTTGCGGAAAAACATCAGGTCTCTGTTGGGTGGCTACGCTTCATTCATGGTTTATTTTGGATGACACGGTGGATGCATCTCAGTCTTTTCAGTGTCTAACTCCTTCCCCCTTGGATGGTCCTGAACAACTGCTAGACTTTCATCAAGAAATAAGAAGGCCCTGGGGAGAGGGAGGGGACAGGGTGGAATGGGTCATTGGGGAGAAAAAGGAACATCTGTAATATTTTAAACAAAAATAAAAAATTTTTTAAAATGCAAAAAAAAAGAAATAAGAAGGCTTACATTTCTACATTTCTCTCTTCCCCTAATTAGCTGTGTGGCCCTGAGCAAAACCCTTAACTTCTCTGGGCTTCAGAGGTCTCATCTAGGAAGGATGGTGCTTGGGCAACACCTCCCTCCCTCAACCCCAGAATCCTCTCCCTGCACATATGTCCTCACCTTTGCTGACACTTCTGGGGAGTGCCCTTCTTTTTCTACAAAGCTCGCTTATTCTTGTAAAAATTAATAATATAATTACTGAAATCTAGAACTCAATTGATAGGTCAAACTATAGATTAGGCCCAACTGAAGAGATAATGCACTGGAGGAATATGCTAGAAAATTATTTAGAATGTAAGACAGTAAGACACATACTTATCAGGAGAGTATGAAAGAAGTGGAAAGAGAAACAGACATAATGAGAAGGTCTAACTACATCAAATTTGAGTTCCAGAGGAAAGAATAGAGAGAATAAAGGAAATGTCATTTTTTTAAAAAAAAATTTGATTTGAGAGCGAGAGAGAGAGAGAGAGAGAGAGGAAGAGAGACAAAGAGAGAGAAACATCAATTTGGTGTATCGAGGTGATGCTCTAACCAACTGAGCTACCTGGCCAGGGCAAGAAAAGCCCTTTTTTAAAAGTATATCTTTATTGATTTCAGAGAGAGGAAAGGAGGGGGGGAGAGAGAGAGAGAAACATTAGTGATGGGAGAGTCATTGATCCGCTGCCTAGCCCGCAACCTGGGCATGTGCCCTG